AAGTAATAAAATATGTTAATAAAACATTTTATTAACATATTTTATTACTTTGTAATGTATAAAAAACGTATTTCAAAAACATATAAGAATAAGCTACCATTAAAATTAGTAATGAAATATGTTATCATACAATTATAAGTCATCCGGAAGAATTGCAATCGATTATTTCAAGAAAAAGCACGCAAAAACTGTGGCAAAATTACAGAAATTTGCGAAATTTTCAAGTACAATGCTATACCAACTGGGAATAATGTCACAGCGCTGCTTCATGACTTGGACTTCATAATTTCGACTGACGTATTAATATTTACATTCAAATGGAAAACCATACGTATTTCTTCGTCCTCTTGTACCGTATTCAGTTGACTGCGTCCTGCAAGGAGAAACGGACACAATGTCAGAAATTAGTGTAACAAAAGAAAACGTGTGGCAGTATTACGAAAAAGTGTCGGATTACCAAGCAAAATGCAGATTTTGCAGGAATGAATATACTTACATCTATATAAATTTCCGTAAACATATAGGAAAGCATCCTCGTATAATAGAATACGAGGAATATAAAGGACGACAAGAATGGCCATGGATATGTTTCAAGTACAACGATACTTCCACCTCACAATGTCTTTTCTGTTGTGAGAATATCCGATCTGATTTTCAATTTTTAGCTAATCATTTAAAACAGAAGCATTTTAACGAAGTGGAAAGTTACGTACTTTACGATTGGACATGGAAATATTTTGCGAAAGTTAATGATTTCAAAATTGAATGTACCGTGTGTTTTTACGATGAATCTATTTTTTTGTCAGGCAGTATAAAAAAACATATAGTATGTAAACATTTGGAAGAATTAAAAAATGCACAAGAAACACGCAACATAGCTCTTTCGTTAGAAACCGTTCGAGATTTAAAAATTATGGAAATTAAAGAAAACACGTGGGAATATTATACCAAAGTGACGTATTTTCATGTAAAATGCAAATTCCAAAATTGCACCTATCAAATTCATAATTATAGTTTACGACTTTATGCGCATGTAAAACAAGAACATGAAGTAATCTGTAAATGGGAAGAGGATCACATAAATGAAAAATGGCCATGGACGTATTTTAGGTATTCGTACGAATATATTTTCGATCAAAGCATACTATTCTCAGAATGTTTCTTCTGTGGTGAATTCTTTCCGGCCGATAAAATTTCTACAACGACACATCTCTCAGACAAGCATTCTGCGACAGAAATACACAATTTTACAGATAATTGGATAAAAAAATATGTTATACAAAGTACTGACACTAAAAAGTTCAAGTGTACTATTTGTTGCAAAAACTTAACCATTGATATTAGTGAAATGTGTTATCATACAATTATAAGTCATCCGGAAGAATTGCAATCGATTATTTCAAGAAAAAGCACGCAAAAGCTGTGGCAAAATTACAGAAATTTGCGAAATTTTCAAGTACAATGCCAACATTGCGATTTTCAATATTGTTATATCAATACAACAAACTTTATTGAACACGTAAAAAAAGAGCATATTGATGAATATAATTACGAACAAACAAACGGGAAAAATTGGCCGTTCAAGTTTTTCAACTATATTAACTCAACTACCGTACAATGTCGCCTTTGTATTCTTCTTCATTCTCTTGATAAAGATAAGTTGATAGATCACTTGTATCTGCATTTTCCTGAGCTACTGGATCACTTTATCGACTACGGCTGGATATGGAAATACTGTACAAAAGTTGGTGATTTTGAAGTGGAATGTTTTTGTAAGCGCAGAATATCTCTTGACGTTTCATTATGGTATTTTGATCACCATATTGCAGCTACACATCCGAACAGGCTGCCAAGTACACAGAGAACGCATGACATAGCAGAATCATCAGGAAGCCAACCAAACTGAAGAAAACAGGTGACAATATGTTTCCTTGATATTATTGTTAACATTTTTATGTATAATTAATTATTTACTTTTTTTGAATTGCATTTTATTTAATAAATATGTAATGAGAAGAGCAATAACCATAAAATTTGTTTTTAATAAATATTAAAATATTTGCATAGATTTATCCAGAGTTTGACAATGGAATAATTATAACGACGTTCAAGTAGCATCACAATCAACGATAACGGCAATTTTAATTTTGACGATTCAAATAATTTGAAGTACACGAGAGAAGTGGCATGCATTTTTACGTATAATTATTCCTGACGTATAATTCGTTTTACGTTTATAAGTTATAAATATGTTTATAAATTTATGTGTCACATAAATAACAAATATTGGAATTTATTATTTAAGCTTACAAATTTTATTTAAGTGTACTATGTTTTTAATTTATAAACTATGTTTATAAATTTATAAAATAAGACGATTTTATGAATTAATTATCGATTTTTCTGTAATCATTAAACTATCGGCGATTTATTTAAGTGCATTTATAAATATTTTATTTCTATTTCATTTTCTTATAAAAATCGTGGATCATGCATTTTTCATATTTTATACTCAAATTTATTATAACTTTTGTGGAGATCGCCGAAACGTTGTACATTAATTGTTAGTAAAATAAGTCAATTCTTAAATCTTCCAGTTGTATTTGTTCGAGAATTGTGTTATATAATATAACCAAACAACACTCATGTCCTCAAGATTAATCATGATAGAAATTACTTTCTTATTAATAAAATAGCATTTAGAAGCAAATATGATATGGTTTCTTCATATAATTTATAAAAGGATTTAAAAATGTTATTTATTGCAATATTTTTTTGATAAATTTGTTTTGCATCTTTTTACATCTTCTGATTTAATCGTAATAACATAAAATAATATTACATATATTCGATAATCAAAAGCTTATCCAATTTTTGCTAACCAGAAAATGTGCAAAATACAGAAATTATAACAACATATTCTTGTTATCATTTATTTTCACTTAAGCTAATAAAAATGTTGAACACACTAAGAGTAATGTAGAGTTATAAACAATAAGGTTGACGAGATTAAATAATTTTTATTTCACAATAAGATTCAATAAGAAACAAGTTGTATATCGCAATGCAATTATAACTTTGATTGAAGAAGGCATAAAGATAACATTATCTCTATTTCTTAAAAAAATTTTTTTTAATAAGAAATTATTAATTTGTATATTTGTTATGAGTATCTCATAGGCGACTCTGAAGCATCGACAAACTTGTTTCAATAATTTATTTAGAAAGCCGTTTGAAAAATGCTGTAGAGAAATATGGACCTATTTTGTTTTTCATATTTTTTCCCGATAAAGTTAATAAATAAAATTTCTATTATTTTTCTCGATACTATTCAATAAATGAAAAATTTTTTAAATATTTTCCGGAATGTTGTCAAACAAAACACACTTGTGCACTGTTTGTAACGAATTGCAGCAACCACACTGGCACAGTCGCGTGTGATGAATGGTGTGAGCATTTTGCGTATCGTAAAAGGTGCGTGGTGTTTAGTGATGTCGACTTGAATCTTTAACAATAATTTAAATATATAAAAACGGTATTGTAAAATATTATTTTATGGAAGGCTGCGAGGAAATATAAAAAAGGGGAAATAAATGACTCCAGCTTTTTTACGGGTCTAATCTTTGCATCCTTTTTATGTACTTTGAATTTCTCGCAATTTGCTACACGGGGTGAAGTCAAAATTTCGAAAAATATCGAAAAATGTTGTTTACATATCCTTATACATGGGTTAGATAGGAAAAGAGGGGGTAACTAGCAGTCCATATTTTCAAAATTGTACCTATAATAAGTATGAATTATCATGTGCTGCATTTTAATGTAGTGTTGCAGTTGCATATATGATGGCGCTACTCATGCTGCACGATTTGTGTTCCATATAATTTTTTTGTTCGCCTTTCTCAATATTTAAATTGCAGATCGTTTCGTATATCTTATCAGCGCACAAATGTCATAACTGATTTTGGCATGAGATTTTAATAACATTCACAAAAGAGATTTTCTGATGAAATAATGGGTATTGTCCACGCTAAGGTGTGTATTTATTATTAGATGTTATTGCATAACCTAAAACTCGTGATTCTTGGAATGAGTAATCTTTAATAGTATACTGACATAGATTATTTTGGTTTTTATTTGATTTTTTGGAAATAATTATTTCGGAATGGCGATTTGTCGAAATGACGATTAATTTCGTAGCAAATGCCGTATTTACGTAGTACTAATTCTCTCACAGAAAATATGAATCTGATCTAATAAAATAACATTTTTCAGGGACCTAGTAATCCTTCAGGTTTAGGTCAATCACTTAGGGAAGATATATCTGCAACTAATCGCAATGAGTCATCAAGGAATGCAATGGGTGACATTGTACGTTTATGATTTATAGTGTACAATATATTTGGATTTATTTTTTAGTAATATTTTGTCTCCCTTATAAATCTCTTATAAATCTCTTTAATAATACCAATATATTATACTACTAATGATTAATATTAAATTTTATTTTTTCTTGCAGCCATCATTTTTCGACAAGTCTCAATACAAGGATGAAGAATCTAAACAGACGAAAGTCATTAATTTACAAAGTGTAAAGGTAAGTACATAAAATCATTTTAGTAATACATATATATCTGTGTGTGTGTGTATATACATATCTCTCGCTTGACAATTTTTTAAATTGCTTTTTATTGTGGTAGGCAAGAGTCGACAAGATACATGTTGATGGGCTTAAACGAACAAAAGATGACATAATCAAGTCACAAGTGACCGACTTATTTAAGGCAAAAAATTTCGAAGATGTTATTATACGCGCTTACAAAGTACGGGAGAAATTGGATGCTTTAGGATGCTTTAGAAATATTGGAGTTTGCATCGACACTAGCCAAGGTTCTGAAGCCACCCCTGATGGTGTTGAAGTGGGTCTATATAATTACACATTAATTCGACAAAAAATAAGTAATTTCAGATTTAAACGTATTGCAGTTTGCCATTGTTATATATTACAATGTAAAGTATATAATTATTCGTGACTTTCATTAAATTGTGTTTGTATTAGGTTACGTTTACGGTACGTGAAATGAGGCGTTTGACTGGTGGTATTAGCACAATGGTTGGAAACAATGAGGGATCCTTGATTATCGGTGCGAGAGCGCCAAATCTATTTGGAAGAGCAGAACGCATCCAAATGGAATACTCTCACGGTAACAAAAGTTCGATCAACTTCAATGTATCTGCCATTAAACCGTTTCCACAGAGCTTGTATAATGCAGTGTGAGTCAGGATATCTGTGTGTAATTTTAGCGGAACGTGTCAAAAATCTCTATTGTCGAATTAACGCTTTACAGATTAACTGGTACTATATTTAGCACAACACATGATTTTCCATGGTCTGGCTTTAAGCAAAACGATAAGGGACTGCTTTTTGATATGGAGCTCAATCAAACAGGCACATCTAAGCACAACATACAATATGAAGCTGCATTTAGGAACATAACTTGTTCCAAACAGGCTGCCTTTCGTGTTAGGGAACAGTGCGGCCCAAATTTGAAGTCTGCAATAAGATATATCTGGACAATAGATAAAAGAGACTCTCCTATATTTCCCATTACTGGAAGCCTTATGCAGTTAATAACAGAAATGGCTGGACTAGGTGGTGACATAGGTTTTTTGAAAAACGAAGTTATTGTACAGAGTAACTGGTCGCCACACGAGTACCTTGTAAGTACTTGTATCATTTCTTACAAAATATTTATTTTTTATTTTAAAATTTAATTGTCGCTTTGCTACAATCTGCAACATTAACTTTATTTTGAAGACATGCAATGAAATGCAAGGAATTTTGATCGAATAAATTTGAGATTTAAAAACTGAAAGAATTGGTAATTGCATATGCAGGATGTGTTCCATTTTATTTTTAATAGTTAAATATCTGGAAATTATGGGGTTTTAGGAAAAAATGTTTCAGACTAAAGTTGTAAGGTTTCGAGAGAGGATTTTTCATTCTACCTATAATTCTATTCTATAAATTTTAAGACTCATAACAATCCCTTGTGGATGATAATTAATTGGAAAATTTCTTTTAAACAGACGGTCCAGCTAGGCCTCCAATCTGGCTTGTTGAGTGCAATTAGTAACGATATGAAAGTAAGCATCGCTGATCATTTCTTTTTGGGTGGTCCGCTGAATGTTCGAGGATTTGACATGAGAGGATGCGGACCTCGTTGCGACGGAAATGCTGTTGGCGGCGAGGTGTATTGGGCAGCCGCTCTTCATGTGTACACGCCGCTTCCGTTCAGACCTGGTCGTAAAAGTTTCGGAAACTTATTTAGGCTACATGGTTTCATCAATGGTGGTAATCTGTCCAATTTCACATTTACGTATGGTGAGTAAAGCGATTCGATTATCATCTTTGTCCTTATCTTTATCAAAGCTCGAAAATTGCCGATAATTGGTCAGTTGACTTTATCTTAAGATTTGCTGAAATCTTTATTACATAATTTTTTCGATGCAAAACAAAAAAAGAATTGATTAAATCGAGATTTAAAAACTGGAAATTTTTATTGATAATTATGTGTTCAATTCCTGGATTGCTTGTCTAAGTTTCTATATCTTTATTATTCTTGATATTTTGCTTCTAAAATCTCGTTTTCTCAATTCGTTTACTTATTAACTTTATTATACTTTATTAATAAATGTATTTAGTTTATGTTTGAAATTTTTAGGTAATCTCTACAATGAAAACGTAAAGCTTTTCACAGAGAATGTTCGTTGTGCCGTCGGCGGAGGTCTCGCAATGAATCTGCAAAACATTGCCCGCATAGAATTGAATTTAGTTGCACCATTGTTGTTCACGAGACGTGATGTGCTCCAACAATTTCAGTTCGGTATTGGTGTGCGGTTCCTTTAAGGACTTCTCACGTTTTGATAGTCTACATATCTTACATTATTTTCCACGCGATGAGTTTCGTCTGAAATGTAAATGATAATAGTGTAAATTTATTTCTGTCACGTCTGAGACGTCACAGAGATTTTGAATGTATTTATTTGCAATAAAGTCGAATGGTATCCATTATCTTCGCTGCAGTTAAGGTATGATCGATTTGGTCTCTTCATGAAAAATTAATCTATATAATTATTAATTTAATAATATAATTTAATTTTTTAATACAAATATGTCCAACAGGCAGAGATTTTTGAAGATTTTTATATCACCATTCATCGTATATGTAATATATTTACAGCGAAATTGCGGTTGTTTATTAATTCAACATAAAACTAAGACAAACGTTAAAATTGTTACATGTGATCTAAATTGTTTGCTGTTGTACTCGAACTTTGGTTTGGCGTAAGACTTCTCATCAGCCGGTCTTTCTTCATGTATTTTCTGATGTAAGTATTTCATCAGAAAGTGAATAACTTTTTTTTGTTCTATCATACAGTCGGCTTGTGATTCTTGCACGATTGATGATACTGTTAGGATTGGTCAAAGCAATGCGAATAAGGAGTGATTGATCATAAGTAATGCTCATTTATGTTAAAAACAAATGGGGAGAACGATGTAGTAGGGGAACGGAAGGAGCGGGGGATTGGAAAGTTACACGCGACCCTAAATAACCCACGTAATCGGTGCAGAAAAATGACGGGATAACAAGACACGATGAAATGATTTCGCGTGGAACTTTATTTTGCGGCCTTTCTTTGTTGATGCACGTGTATTTCACATGCAAATACAATTTTGCTACCTTACTTTATTGGTACGATTTTTAAAAACATTTTATCAGCATGAATCAACTGTCGTGAATAAGGAATCTCGATGACACACGTTGAGTCAAATGGCTATTTTTAGAATATTATTTATCCGCATCCAGAATACTACGAATTTACTTAGGATGTCATCATCCTAAATTTCCAAAAATTTTTTGTTTTCTTTATTCAAAAATGAATATTCTCCTATTTTATTGTAGATGTAAAAATTAGACAAGCATATATATGTATTATTACATATAAATAATTAAAGTGGAAATAATCTGTAGATTATTTTCTGCTGTAGATTATTTCGCTGTTTTCTATTTTTTAAAGCTATAATTAGGATTTGAGTACGTTGGGTAGAAATGATATTTTATCGATTAAGAGATTACGTGAAATGCGATATAGATAACGCGGGAATTCTTTAGTCTAAATATGATTTATTATCACACGCTTGTAGTGAATGAGTATGTAAATCAGGCAGTAATTTTGAAGCATGCTCGCAGTGCATATTAGTGCACAATGAACAGAATAAAAAGATCGTGCTGGATTTCATTTGCTGTCCTTCAATACAATAATATATATGGCACGTGGCATTGAATGGCAGCCAGTATACAAAGACAGTATTTAACGTTTTTTTTAATAGCATAGTTTTTCGTCGAAGTTAATCGAGAATGTGTGTTCATATTAATTTTAGTATAAGTAGATTTGTGAATAATTGGTGTAAAAACGACTGCAAAATATTCGTGCAAGTGGATTCTCTAAAATTTTAAGAACTAAAAATGACTGGCTTTGAAATCTTTGAGGTATTTGTGAGATTATCAAAACTATTGTGCTTACTGCAGTTCATTGTTGTTGTTTTTTAAAGCGAATTTGATTTTGCAAACGCAACTGAATTAATTAGATGGGCAGATCTTAAATCTTTAGTAAATATTTGATATAAAAATAATTAGAGTGCTTGTAATTATGATCCACATTTGTAAAGATTTCATTTATAAATTCTGTAATTTAGTTACTGTGTCTAAGTGGAACAAAGAAAACGTTATCGTTATATAACAATCATTTTACTGATTAAATATTTTCTAATACTCACTGTTAGATATTGTTATGGATTTATATTATATTTATATTTATATTCAAACAAGTTTTACAATACTTCTTTAAAAATTTTCCAATTTGTAAAATGTTAAAGCAAGAAAATTAAAGTCAATATGATTTCACGAATTACTGTGGAAATAATTTTTGCACATTTATATTAAAATTTGTGTATCAAAATTAAGGTGTTTTTAATCTTTATTTTAAACAATTTGCACAATGTACATTTATGATGTCACACGACATGCGCATCATGTAATTCTTGTGTTTTGCATGCAAAAATTACGAATAGATTAATCATCTTCCTAGAAAAACATGTGGTGTTTTCACGCACATTCCAGAACCTAACCTAACCTAACCTAAATACAAATCTAAATAATCGTTTTTATCAGTATTATTCTTAAAAGTAAGGCGGTTGTCAAAGGTTATACTTTATATATATTCTTTTTTTTTAATTATTTATGCTATTATGCAATATAAAAATTTTTATTTAGATAAAAAGAATTTATTGAAGAAATACTCATTATAGTAGACTAAATTACATCAAGAACAATCAAGAATAGTTGCTTTTCGATGAAATATCCATTTGACCATCGCCTCTTATCGAAATAAAACATTTACGTAGTTGCGTGCGCTAAAAGTCACTGCGCATGTGTAGATCTCGTCTCTCCACGTTAAGCAATGCCATTTTCTTAGTCTAAGATGGCCGCTTAAAGAACTCGACGAAATGTGTGCTACAAAAATGTATCCGTTTGCAATAGAAATCAACGACGCTACTGCGAAATCGACAAGAATTATTACGGCGACGAGCATAAATTTAAGAACGGTATCTTATTTACGTGCGGCGATCGCGAGTTTACGAAGAATTTGTCGTCGTAAAAAAGTGAAATAATACAATCAATGATCCGTGTTCTGTGGAAATTGATCTGCATGGATACCACAAGCAAAATCGACGTTAACGGAGACGCGTTCGAATCTTACATCATGGTTTCCCATTCTGATATATTACCGCCATACACAGCTATTAAAGAAACTTCGATGTCGACGCGTATTTCTAACATGTGTCGAAAGGCTTGGTACGGCATGACCGTTCGATTTTATCGTAGAATGGATTCTACGGATTCTTCCGAAATACCCACAAAGCGTATGAAACAACACAACCGCAGGAAGGCCAATGCTATCGCGATAGGCAGGGGTCGCGGTAGAGCGAAGGGTCAGCTCAGGCGTTCCGGCGTAAGTCAAGCCAGGCATCGGAAGGAAGGCACGAAGCATATTCAGGGTGATTACGAGATCTGGCAAGAGTTATACACTGTACAAAACGAGTGCACCGTAGACGACACAGACGGTTACGATGTGCCCGATGCTGCTCAGTTTATGAAGAAAACAACTAATCCCATAACATTAAATTTATCCGATATTACACCAACTAAACATAAGCTAAAGGCGCGCAACAAGCAGGAAGAAGCAAAGTGTCCGACCAGAGTGCGTTATGTATCTTCGATCAAGATCAACAATGATTATCATGAGGATAGCGAAAAGAGTCCGTCCCGACTACGATTATTGTCCGAGTGTACCGACGATTCCGAAGATAGTTTTGTGGTTTTTGAAAACAGCGATGATGAATTACTGGAGGCGTGTGATGAGTATGGAGATGCGACGGAGTATCTAAACAAAATGTGTTGTCTGCCTAAGGATTCTTGGGCGGCGAGCAACAACCAGATGAATTGTAACAGCACCAAGTATGATATGCAAAGTCCGTTGCGGCAACGATTGCTATCGGAGAGTTCCATCGATTCTGAAGATAGTTTTTGTATAGTATTCAAATCTCAATCGGATTGTGCGAGCGATTGCACGATCAATGACTGCAATGAAACAAGCTTCTGCAATCAAAGCAGCCAGTTGGACAATTCAACAATCAAGGATGAATCGATCAATGACAATCAGAATAGTATGGCATCAGCAGTATATAATGATCAAGACAGTGAGGAATTGAAAACGAAAAAAGTACTTAAGAATCTTTACTTACTAAATATTTACATTAGTCAATTTAAATTATGCTTAATGTGAATTCAATAAGTCACAAGAATTATTTGCATGTATTTTCTTGTCATTCTTTTATTTCTAGTAGTAGATTTTTATTTTCCCCTTAGGGTTCCAACTCTTACAATTACTTACAACTGACTTCTAACTTAATTCTACTCTTAACTCTAATTTATTTCTAATACTTAACCTACTTACATTTCTATCTTATCTTTAACCTAACCTAACCTAACTTTGTGTCCATCTGCTAATTAACAAATTTTTATATTTGAAATTCTATTTCAGGTGAGCTTCGATCTGAATCCAGTTGTGCATCTCATGGTAAAATGGGGTTACGCATACCGAGCAGCTCGCAAAGGTCCATGGGAGCAAATGGCACGGGATAATGAAAGGTTCAAGGGACGTATAGACTCCATCGCTGCTGTCCTTGATCCAATTTTAACAAATAACCACCGCTCTCAAGTTTGGCAAAAACGATTTGCTCTTTAAAAATAGTTCTTGTCTTTTTAATAGCATAATTTATAAATAAAAGAAAGAGAGAGAAAAAGAATGACGCAAAGGGAAGGGAATGTATCATGTATCATTGAGTATGTATGATTGATATCTTTTAAAATATAGAAAATGGCTGTGAATATTAGTGTAAAAAGATCTTCTAATATATGATTAAAATACACACGGTGTGTTTAATGTATGATTTCTAAGTTTTTAGTATAATCAAAATAATGATCACAAACTTCAACACACTAGCTTTTTCCATTTAGGAAAATTGACAACTCGAGAAGAACGATTATTATTTACACTAATTTAATAAAAAGTTACGCCATTTTTTATGATAACAATGTTAAGAAAAAATAAGGAAATTTGATTTTGGATTTGTTATAATGGTTCTAAATTTTTAAACGTTAACGTGGCTTAATAATTATGATTATTGTACAGAGCCTCTTTTTTGGATGTAAAAATGCATAATTAATGTTTTTTAGTCAATACACTTAATAATGACAATGTAAGTACTTCTACTTAAACATAAAAACTCGTTTATGTTGAACATCGGTCATAAAGTATTTTTAATTGAAGTTCTTAACTTATTATATTCTATTCTTCTTATATTAAGAACTTCAATTATTAAGTGTCATTATTAAGTGTATTGACTAAAAGACATTAATTATGCATTTTTACACCGTTCAAAAAGAGGCTCTGTACAATAATCGTAATATAAAAATTTCAAAACATGTCCTTATTTTTTCAAAATGTAGCAAAATATACATGTATTTCTTTCAAGATTCTACGTTTTCATTCAAAAATATTTTAAGAATCTATCTTCACAGCGCATTTCGAAGCTTTTTAAAATTCGCGTTACTTGTCATTTTGTTTTCTTTATATTTTTTTTTTGCAACTTTGATGTGCATGCACAAAAATTCAGAAATTATTGCATCTGTTTTAATAATATACGAGAAGCATACAAAAAAAGAAAAAGAAAATAGTAAAAACGACATGAGTATATGCTGGCAAATAATTTTTTTTAAATAACAGTTCTATCGGCGATTGTATTTTTTTGATTAAATAGCACCTACCATGCATTGTGTGTGCAAAGTCATATTTTGGACTTGTGAATCTATGTAAAATAGCAGATAGTTGTTCTTTTATATCAATGTAATATCAATTTATCTTGTACGATATAAAACGATATAAGTACGATATAAATATTGATATAAAAAAACAGTTATCCACTATTTTACATAGATTCACGAGTCTAAAATAAATTTAAAAAATTATTTGCCAAAATATGTTTGTATGTTAGTCTTCACACATTCGAGAAGTTCCATTAATAATACTTTCTATAAATAATACATGAATTATTACTTTGCATTAGAATCATAACCTCATATTATATAATTAAGTATGTATAACATTATATGTGTGAAAAGTATATAATTTGTACGAAACATCAAGTCATTTGTACAGAAGAACAAGTATAAAATTGGGCGAATTTTAAATCGATATGGCCTATTAAAGCTATGTTATGATATTTTTATTTGTGATTCAAAATACTACTTTGTGATGTATAAGATATAATAAAAATAAATAAAATGATTTTATATGATTTTTTGCGAGAAGTTCTTAGGTATATATATTTGTTAATATTCTTTCGCTGGTAAAAATATTCCCGAAGTTATTAGAATTTGATAAAAATTGTAAAATATGACGTGTAAAAACGTGTCGAATTTCATAATTCCGATAGATTCTGACAAATTTTGACATCTATTACTTTAAGAACATGGATTGATAAAGTAATGGTTTAATTAATGATTTTCCAGAACTGTGAAGAATGACGTGCGAGTAGTTTTCGATTTCTTTCAGCACTTAAAATCGATGAAAACTATCAATATGTTTAGAAGAACAGAGCCGGCCAAGATCTTGTGCAACTTTTTTTAAAACGTTTCTCATTGATGCTATAGCAGATAAAAAGAAATAAAAGAAATAGCGCTTGCGTCTTCGAAAAATGTCACTGACGTCTTCTAGTTAACGTGGTGCTTATTTTTTGTGTACACAATTTAAAAATTATCTTTTTTTTTTGTTAGTGTAGCATTGACAAGGCGCTGCAGGCAGGAAAGACGTTTTCGCATCTTCAGCATTGCTCTATTCTGGCATTGTGATGCTACGATGTACAGCTCGTCTTTTTCCTCTTCTATCCAAGACTGACTTCGCTTATTACATGTTTCATGATAACAATGATACGCACAAACATTACTACAGAAAGGATAGTTAGATAAAAAGAAATCATACTTTAATAATGATGCTATTCTTGTGTCTTCTTTACGCGTTGTTTACAAGCATGAGAATATTGGTGCAATCTGCCCATCTTGTAAAATAAACATTCTTCCTAATCTATACCGTCGTCTAAAATTCTAGTAGAAAATGTTTTCAATGTTTTCTACAGACTCATATTTATACGTAAATTATAAGATAATTATAATTTTTAATTATGTATTATGTATTTGAATATTTTCTTAATCATAATAATTAATACTAATGTCAATTGTCAAGTCGCAAGACATTTTTGGATAAGCTTAAAATTTAAATATTAAAATAGTATAATCTTTCTTGTGTGTTTAAGATACTTTAAAATTAATTCACATTTACTTCATGTTGCGCGCAATATGATTAACTTTTTTTATTTTATTACATTTATTTACTTTTATTATTGACTAATAATTATTTCTTTATTACTTTTTGTATAAAACATTTTTTTAAATTCTTAGTATAAATTTATTATTTATATTTTTCTACAATAACTGATTTTAGTCTTTGAAACAAAATTTATATAAATTAGATCAAATTTTTTCAATTAATACAATATTAAGAATTAATAAGAGATTATATTCTTAATATGTATATTTTGCATGTTATTTATTTACCAAACATTGGATAATCGAATTAATTATCGAATATATGTAATATTATTTTCTAATTCTATTATTAGATAAATTGAGAAAATTCTAAAAAAATAAACTATTATAACAAATATTACTCAAAAAATTTTTGAATTAAAAACAGGAATTGTATGAATTTGAATAGGGAATTTTATTAATAATAAAAATTAATTTTTATTATAACAAGTATATTATGTATCAATTCTCCAACAAATACAACTCGAAAATTTACATCGACATATTTTACTTGCAATTAATGTACATTTTGCAGATTTCTACAAAAGTTACAGTATTTATTTAAATTATATAAAATACGAAAAATACGAAAATACACAGACAAGAAAATATAAGAAAATCAAATAGAAATAAAATATTTATAAATGCTCTTAAATAAATCGTCGATAGTTTAATGATTACAGAAAAATCGATAATTAATTCATAAAATCGTCTTACTTTATAAACTTATAAACATAGTTTAGAAATTGAAAACATAGTACACATAAATAAAATTTATAAGCGTATATAATAATTATTATATACGCTTATTATTATACATAAATTTATAAACATATTGTTAACTTATAAACGTAAAACAAATTATACGTCGTAGGAATAATTATATGTAAAAAAATATGCCACTTTGCCATATTTGAAATTGTTTGAATCGTCAAAATTGACGATTGACATTATTATTGGTTGCGATGCCACTTGAAACGTATACAAGAAAAGCATGAAGCAATTTTTAAATGGAAAGAGGAATACACAAGAAGCCAACATCAAGACCATGGATGTATTTTAAATATTTGTATGCATATTTTTCCGATAAAGACGAACTATCCATACAATATTCAGAGTGCCTTATGTGTCGTAAACTTTTTGTGATTACCCCAAACTGCTTAACAACACATCAGATTATCATCAGTCCGTTGTCAAACTCTGGATAAACCTATGTAAATATTTTTAATGTTTATTAAAAACAGATTGTCTGGTTATTCTCATTACATATTTATTAAATTAAATGCGATTTGAAAAAAGTAAAAAATTAATTATACATAGAAATATTAACAGTAATATCAATAAAACGTATTGTCACCTGTTTTCTTCAGTTTGGTTGATTTTCTGATGGTCCAGCTGTGTCATCCGTTCTCTATGTACTTATCAGCTTGTCGGGATGTTCATTTTCAATGTGACGATCGAAACACCATAAATGAACGTCAAGAAGTATTTTGCGGCGACAAATACTACATTGCACTTCAGAATCTCCAATTTTTTCACAATATTTCCATACCCAGTTGCAGATTAAATAGAAAGTCGGTTTCTCAGGAAAATGCTTGTAATTCAAGTGATATGTCAAACCTTTCCAAAAAAAGTTGTATATATTATAAAAACTTTCCAAAAGATTGTATTTCCAAAATATATTATAAAAATTTGAAAAAGTAAAAATTAATTGTACATAGAAATATTAACAGTAATATCAATAAAACGTATTGTCACCTGTTTTCTTCAGTTTGGTTGATTTCCTGATGGTCCAGCTGTGTCATCCGTTTTCTGTGTACTTATCAGCTTGTCGGGATGTTCATTTTCAATGTGACGATCGAAACACCATAACTGAACGTCAAGAAGTATTTTGCGGCGACAAATACTACATTGCACTTCAGAATCTCCAATTTTTTCACAATATTTCCATACCCAGTTGCAGATTAAATAGAAAGTCGGTTTCTCAGGAAAATGCTTGTAATTCAAATGATATGTCAAATTATCTATATGATCAGATTGACGACCAGTATTATAGAGCCAACATTGTAAGATATATGGGTTGAAATACTTGAAATACTGAAACGGCCATATTTTCCCGTGTCTTTCTTCATAATTATATACTTCTACATGCTTTTCTTTTACGTGTTCACTAAAGTTTGTTGTACTGATGTAAGAAGATTGAAAGTCGCAATTGTCTTGTCGGCATTCTACTATAAAATTTTTCAACTTTTCGTAATTTTGCAACAGTTTTTACATATTTTTTTTTGAGATGCATGTTTGCAATTTGTTCGAATGTTTTTTAATTATATGTTTGGACATAATAGGATTAGTACTATCAAATATGTTTTTGTAACAAATAGTACACTTGATCTTATCAGTATCATCAGTTTTTTTTTGTCCCAGTCTAAAATATTTCATTACCCAAGAGTTCTTTATGGAATTATAATGTTTTTCCTTAGAATGCTTCTCTAATAGATGTGTTGTTAGACAGTTTGGAGTGATCACAAAGAGTTCACCATACATAAGACACTCTTGAGTATTGTATAGATAGTTCGTCTTTATCGGAAATATATATAAATATTTAAAATTGTCGTTCTTGATGTTGGCTTCTTGTGTGTGCCTCTTCCCATTTAAAAATTGCTTCATGCTTTTCTTGTATATGCGACGTTTCAAGTGGCATCACAACCAATAATAATGTCAATCGTCAATTTTGACGATTCAAACAATTTCAAATATGGCACAGTGGCATATTTTTTTACATATAATTATTCCTACGACGTATAATTTGTTTTACGTTTACGACAATTTGGTATAATATTCCCACATGTTTTTATCAATTTCTATAGCTTTTAATTTCAGAATGGATTCTGACGAAAGAACTATGTCGTATATTCCTCGCGCATCTCTTAATTCTTTCGAATGTTTAATTATTATATGTTCAATTAATTTGTCATGTATAGTAATATTGAATACGCGGGAGCAGTTGGAACGTATACTGCATTCTACTGTAAAATCATTAGTTCTATTACAATATTTCCATTCCCAATTGTGAAATACGTAATCTTTTTCACTGTTAAAATGCTCCTGGCATAAATGATCTACTAAAGATTGAAAATCAGATTGAAAATTCTTACGACAGAGAAGACATTGTGAAGTGGAAGTATCGTTATACTTAAAACATATCCATGGCCATTCTTGTTGTCCTTCATATGTTTCTTCGTATTTTGCTATTTCTTTATGCTGTTCTCTTACATGTCGAAGAAAAATATATTGAACGACGAAAATAAATTTAAGACTGCAAAATTTGCATGCTGCTTCGTATTCCGACACTTTTTCGTAATATTGCCACACGTTTTCTGTAGTTACAATAATTTCTGACATTGTGTCCGTTCCAACTTACAGGACGATGATAACTGAATAGAATCCTTTCAACCGAAGAGTCTTTCTACCGAAAAGTGTGCGATAGAAGGGACAAGGAAGACGCATAGTTTATCATAATAATGTAAATATTGATACGTCAGCCAAATCTATCCAATCAATATCAAGAGCCACGGTAGCATACTCGGTTTACGTAGCAATAAGAACTCCGTGTAAGACATGTTACAACGTATTCTATAAGCAAATAATTTTTAAGAAATAGATATTTTATTACTTATACATAAAATAATAGGGATATTGTATGTAATTTGCAGAGTTTATTAATACTGATAAATACAACTGCTACTTTGATTACAGAAATATGAAAATGAGCATTTACTTTTATACTTTTTAACATGTTGTATGAAAATGTTATGCAATAAATTTATTTATTTTTAACTTGTAATTAGATTTTTGAACAATTTATAAAAATTTCGTTAAAACTGTGTTGCTGAAACATTATTAATTTATTCGTACATATTTTATTGATGTTTTCTCTTTTCTCATTATTTAAAGATTTTGATAAATTGTTAAGATATAAAAAAAACTCTTTTTTTAAATTATAAATTGTAATTGAAAAAGATGTTAAAATAAATAGACATTATAAATTAAAAACAAGCTAAGAAAATTGCAATAAACTTGCAGCTGAATAATGATCAATTTTATTAATTTACAATGTTATGTTATTATTTCTGCATTACACTAGCAAGTGATGCAAGCATAAGAAAAGTGCATAAAATTGTAATACCTCCTCATAAAAGATTTCTGTGAATTGTGGTGTTATTAGTTTACATCAAGCTGTGCTTCAAAGAATAATTTTACGAAATTAAAGTCAAAATCGTATCAATTATGTAATTTAAAGTTTAGTGTACTTTGTTCTGCAAATTCAAATTTTATTTGTTATTTACAATTTATTTTCTAACATCAAAAATGTTTTGAACTGGAATAAAACATTTGGAAGAAAAATAGCAAAAATATTTCTTTCCAACTATGCCATTCCATCTTTTCCGCAATCAGGTTTGCGAGCAATATATTGATGTTAATGTTAATTTATAACGGTTATCACACATACAATAGGATGAAAGGAAGAGACGAAGACAGCATATTTGTCTGAAATTTTTTACAAGTTGCATTTGAGATTTATATATAATAAATATATAATTTCCCTTTCTTAACATGAAAAAATAATATTTGCAAACAAAATTTAATATTATAAACTTTTAGTATAATTACAAATTCCATTTAACATACATTTATTATTATATTATAATCAAAAATTCATAAAAATAAAAAATACTGGCTTTTACTGAATACACTTGTACTTTTAGCATACTAAAGAAAATTTTTATTGTGATTACTTTTCGGAAAAATCTCCTTTTACAGAAACTTGAATCTTTTTTTACGAATATTATATGTATATTATTTATGCATTAATCCTCATATTATGACCAAAATAAGAAAACTACGATTCCGATTATGTGAACCAGTCATTATGATATAAAAATGCATTGGTATCGAAAAAAGCACCAAATCAAATAAATCATTGTTGCACTTGATGCATCTCGTGCAAAATTTCATTGCGTATAATTATTTTAACAAATATTATTTTGTGGAATATTCTAGAAACTGTGTTTAAGAATCGTCAAAGAGCTGTTGCGAATCTCGACAACCGCTGTTGGTCATCATAAAAAAAAGTGGCTTGTAAACACAAGCTAATAACATTAACTTGAAGCAGCCTTGATCATGGAAAGCTCGGTGTATGCGAGCGACTCATTAGAGTTTGCTGTGTAAAAATAAAAAATATATATTATATCATCGAAATGAGCTACTTGTCCGTATTAAATTTTAAATTAAAAAAATTACGAAAAGTGTTTGTCTTCGCGAATATAAAATTTTACGGTCATGTAGTGCGTATTGCTTTTTTCGCTTTTACACTCTCGCAGTTACACTGGTGTACAGCAATCATCGTTCTGTATTTCAGTGATATGCTGATCAAACGTTTCGCACTTCGACTCGGCAGTCGTTCGCTGCATGCATCTTGCAAAATGTTCACCATTGCGGTCATTATTATTCGTTAACTATGCACAAATGTATTTTAGTTGGCAATATTTAGTAGTATAAAACAAAGTGATGGAAATTTTATTTCTTAATTTTTTTGTCGGGAAAAAATATGAAAATCGTGTTATTTTTCTATAGTATTACTCAAACAGCTTTTATCATAAATTATTGAAACGAATTTGCCGACGACTTCGATATTGTCTATTCATTTCAAAGTCGCGTGCAAAATACCCGTAACACCCGTAACAAGTACACAAATTAATAATTTTTTATTAAAAACATGTAAAAATATTATAAATATAATGATGTATTATGTTTTTCTTTTCTTTTTTTCTCCTTTGCCTTAAAATAGATAAGTTAGATTAATAGACAAAGTAACATATATAATTTACATCTTAATATTGGAACGCTTTGATAAAAATATATAACTTTAACGTAACTGCAACTCATTATTGTGAAACATTTCAGCAAGTTTACAAAAATAACAGGTGAAAAATAAAGTATGTAATTTTTCAAAATTGATTTTCTCGACTTTCGCTATTAATTATTTACTTTTACATTTTACTTGTCTAAATTTGTTAAATTTTTCTACAGTGTAATCTTACGCGGATCTTTACTAGAAAACAGAAGATCTTATCTTTTACAAATATAAACGAAATGCAATTATACTATCGCTGTCGTCTAGAACCGAGAAATTTAATCAAGTAACGTTTATGTTTATGAAGCAGTCTATTGAATTGAGAAGCGTTTAATGGATTTGAAAATACTATTCCACATTTTCTATAAATTAAAATAATAAAATGTTGCGCAAAAAATGAGTTTCTGAAAAATTTATTTTTGCAGTACTTTAAAGCGAAATATAATATAACCGGAAATATTGAAGAGAAAATAATACAGATTTTTTTTATATTGCAAAAAATGTTATATATTTCGAAACTTACAGTAATTGTGACAATTTTTAATTACATAAAATTAAAGAAATAAAAACACAACAAAAAATAAAAACAAATTTATTTTATATGACGTACGTAATTTAAATTCAATTACGTACGGATATAAATTTATTTCTTGTAGTCTAAGATTAAAAAAAAAATTTTTTTAAGAGCGTACAAAATATTAGCATTATATAATTAAAACACAATTTTGCGATATAATTATTTAGTTGTATTTTATAAGTATAAATTTTATCACATTATCATATGGCATTTATCCAAGTTTCTATTTAATATTATTTTTCTAATTATGAATTTAATTTAAGTTATTACATGCGCGCAAATCTTCCAAATATGTGTCATTTTTTATAAGTAAAACTTAAGTGACGGAAACTAAATAAGCATGCAAACAATTATTACGCTATTTAGCCGAATAAATAAAAATTTTTTAAATGTGCATTATATAAAAATAATAGAGTGGCACAATTTTTTAGGTGTTTGTAATACTTTAAAGAATTCGCACACTATTTATATATATTTTTACACTATGTATATAATATGTTTAATTTTATTAACGTCTTATGAAGTTTTTTTACTATTATTCTTATTATTCTCACTTTTATTCCTATCTTTTAATTAACTTCTTTTATTTTAATTAACTTAATTAAGTTTAACTTATCTTTTAATCTTTAAATAATTATACATTTTTAAACAAACATAAGATTAAAAATTACTTTAAGTAGTTTTAATCCATACAAATATATTAAAAATGAATAATTCAAAAAACATGTCAGTAAACATTAAAAAAACTAATTGATTATCGAATATAACTGATAAGTAATTAAATTATCATTGTGTTATTAACCAAGAAAATCAAAAATTAATAAATAATATAACATAATGTTATAATACAAAAGTTTTAAAACAATTTTTTAAAAATTGTTATCAACCTCTTAAATCATCTGTTTTTTTAATCATCTATTTTCAGAATTAAGTCATTTTTCTTGTTTTAGATTTCTTAAATCTTTAGATTACTAAGACCTTAGATTTCTTAAATCAGGTTTGCTTTCGTCGATTGTAGTCTTACTTGAACGCTGTTACCATCACTCTCATTGTTAAACTCTGGATAAACCTATGTAAATAATTTAAAATTTATGAAAAACAAATTGTCTGGTTATTGGTTTTTTCACTACACATTTATTAAATCAAATGCGATTTAAAAAAGTAAAAGATTAATTGTACACATAAATATTAACAATAATATTAATAAAACAAATTGTCACCTGTTTTCTTCAGTTTGGTTGGCTTCCTGAGGGTCCAGCTATGTCATGCGGTCTTTGTGTACTTGTCAGCCTGTTCGGATGTGTAGTTGCAATGTGTCGATCGAAATACCATAACGGAATGTTAAGAGATATTTTGCTGCTACAAATATTACATTGCACCTCAAAATCACTACTTTGTGCATAGTATTTCTGTTCCCAGCCACTCTTGCGAAATAATGTGTTATGAAAAGACTCAAAAGAATGATTGTCCAAGTGCGTTATTAAAAAATCATAAATACACTCAACAACATTATCACAGCAACGACATTGTAAGTAATATGAAGTAAAATACGTGAAGTACATCCATGGATATGTGTGTTCGTGTGCTGCTTCGTGATTGTATGTTTCTTCATGTTCTTTTTTCACGTGTTCAGTAAAGTTTATTGTATTGACGTAACAAGATTGAAAGTTGCAAAATTGGCATTTTGCTTGAAAATCCTCTAATATATAATTTTGGCACAGTTTTTCCATATCTTTTGTAGATATATTGAAATGCAATTCTTTCGAATGATTTTCAATTATATGATTAGATACAAAAGGCAAAATATTAATGGTTATGTTTTTGCAACAAATAGTACATTTGATCTCTGGATTGTCATCACTTACTTTATAATATTTCATCATCCAAGGGTTATCTACAAAATTACTTAGTTCTTCCTCAGAATGCTTCTGTAACAGATGTGTCGTTGTAGATTCACAATCAACCAGGAAGAATTCACCACACATGAGACATTTTGAGTATGGTATCTCTTTATCGGAAATATATTCAAACGAATACTTAAAATATATCCATGGTTTTTGATTGGTGTGATTGATCTCCCATTTAAAGGTTGCTTTATGTTTGTCTTGTATATGCATAGAAATGTTTGTAGAAGAAATATAATAACATTCATAGTTGCAATTTTGCAATTTGCATCTTGCTCGAAAATTCGGCAATTTGGTATAATATTTCCATATGTTTTCTTTAACTTCCATAATGTTTGAATTCATAACGGATTCTGACGAAAGAATTTTGTCGCGTGTTTCTTGGGCATTTCTCAATTCTTCCGAATGTTTACTTACTATATGTTTATTTAAATGCTGATAATGAAGAACATATAATTCCTGCGTACACACCGTACATTTTATTTGAAAATCACTAATTCTCGTACAATATTTCCATGTCCAATCGTAAAGTACGTAATTCTCCACTTCGTTAACATGCTTCTGGTGTAAATGATATGCTATAGATTGAAAATTAGATTGAAAATTCTGACGACAGAAAAGACATTGTAAGGTAGAAGTATCGTTGTACTTGAAGCAAATCCATTCGTGTCGTCCTTTACATGTTTCTTCGTAATCAAATATTTCAGCATGTTTTCTTTTTATATGCTGATAAAAAATTGGATTGATGTAAGTATATTTTTGTGCGCAAATCTTGCATTTTGCTTGGAAATCCGACACTTTTTCGAAATATTGCCACACGTTTTCTTTTGTTACTATAATATCTGACATTGTGTCCGTTTCAACTTACAGGTCGGAGATAACTGAGTACGGTACAGGCGGACGAAGAAATACGTATAGTTTTCCATTTCAATGTAAATATTAATATGTCAGTTAAACGTATCTAATAAATAACAGGAGATACGGTAGCATCTCATTCGTTAACCTTTGTGATAATAACAATGCTGTGTAAGACGTGTTACAAGGTATCCATTAAATAAATAATGTTTTCAAAAATATTATATATTTAATTATTTACTTATATAAAATAGTAACGATATTGAATAATAGCAATCAAAGAAATATGCGTAGTTGGCCGAATTTACTGATAAAAACAATTGTTACATTGATTACAGCAATATAAAATTGCGCATTTATTTCCGAATCTTTAATATATTGTCTCAATATATTATGGAATATAATAATATAATTTTAGCTTAAAATTTAGTTTCTTAACAATTTATAAAATTTAAAAAATATTTTGTTAATTTTACTGTTAAAACATCATCAATTTATTTGTACATATTTTATTAATAAGTTTTTTTCCTCTCTCGCTATTTAAAGTTTCTGATATAAAGTAAAAATAAAAGTAGATGAAAATACTTTTTAATTATAAGTTGCAATTTTAAAAAAAAATTAAAGGAAACAGACATCGTAAATTAAAAATAAGCTAAAAAAATTGGAATAAACTTGGAGCAGAATAACGAATCAATTTTATTAATTTACATTGTTATATTAGCATTACATTCCATTTGCAAGTGACGCAAGCATACACTGAAAAAAATCGAAGATAAAATGAACTATAATTGCATGGTAAAAAAATTACATTCGGAATTCTCATTTTTTATAGTAAACTTTACAATAATACTAGTTATATAACCCTATACACATGGTTCTGAGAAACAATGAAACTTTTTACTATAAATTTTAGTGAAATTATGGTTATTTCAACTATTTTTTTTTTCAGTGTAAATATGCGATAACAGTTGGAACTTATTTTGCTATCTGTATAACAAAAATGCATGAAATTATAATTCTTTCTCATGAAAGATTTCCGCATATTGTAGTATTATGAGTCACATCCGAGATTCACATTAGATTATGCTTCAGAAAATAAATTTACGAAAAATTGAAATCATATCAATTATATGATTTCAATTTTAGTGCATTTTGTTTCTGAAATACAATTTTATTCTTTAATTTTGCAATTTTTTAG